TTTCTAATAACCTTTTATGTTCCAGGAAGCTATTTTGACAAAAAAAAAAAAAAAAAAAAACACTGATAAAAGGTAAAATGAATGGGCCTGCTGAAATAAAACATAAAAATTTAAAAAGTTACAAATGCAGCAGCTCAAGAACCATCAATTAAATGATCCAGAAACAGGTTAAAGACCATCAAATAACCAGAAAGAGGTAGACATCCTCTGACATAATGAAGGCTAACAAGAATTGTTTTAACCTGGACAAGTATACCAAAAATTTTATTAATAGTATCTAAGAGAAATTAAGCATGTCATGATTTTTAAGAGATTTAAAGAGTGAAATATTGATTCTTAAAGTGCCAAGAAGGTGCATTTCACGGAAATAAAGACCTATAATGCTATAAAGATCTTGGATTGTCCTCGTGTGGTAAGCACCTGCATTTCCAGAAGCATATCATCTGCAATACCCAGAACAGGTGTGGACCAGTAAGCACTGGTGATACTAAAGGTTGCACAGTACCTTTCAGGACCAATTGGCTGCCGAAACGCAACATGGACCTACAGTCTCATAACTGGAAGGGCTTGCCCAGCCTGTATGCTTACTCAAGCAATTAGAAAGGAACAATTGAGAAGAGGAGAAGGCAATAAATCCTTTAGTAGCACCAGAAAGTCACACAAGCTCAATCAGCACATATTTGAGACCTTAAGGTTTACCTTTTTGTCTCTACCCATAAAGGACTTGTATGTCATCGAGGCTTACAAGAACTTACTGGACTTACTTCTGGACTTACAAGGAGCAAGAGTGTTTGCTGACAATCCCATTGTGTGAACAGAAGCTAGGGAAGGCAACAGTTCTGTTGGAGGGCAATCCAAACAGGTGAAAGGACACAGATGCTTTTATATAGGCCCAATGCATCAAAGGTGAAAGGACACAGATGCTTTTATATAGGCCCAATGCATCTATGCCTGCACAGATGTGAAAATAATCCTGGGTTCTCCCAGCATGAGTGGAAATGGTCACCAGAACTAACAGTACTTCAAGACTGAGAGAAATTTGAAGAGTTTCCCTCACCTTATGGAGTTGTTTTTCATATGACTACTAGACCATCACCTACCACTTAACTGTCTCCTGGGAACAGCTTGACTCCCCACACAGATACCCTTCAGTGCTTCCTTTAAACCAACACTACTGCTTCCTTCCCCCAGTCCCCAGCCCAACCTTTTTCTTTGCCCTGTGTTAATGAACACCAACCACAGGCAGAGTTCTAGAGTAGGTGCTGTGGAAACAAATGAAAAAACTCAATGTGTGACTTTTGCCTGCCCTCAGGAAACTTGCAGTCTCCTTTGGAAGTGCCAGGAAATCTGAGTTGCTGATATCAAAAGAAGCAGTTAATGAGACACACGGCTCAGCGAGCAGGGATATCAGGGTTCATAGCTGGAGCAAGAAATAGGGGCTGGCACACTTATGGCCTCTTCATTCATCTTTAGCCCTATTATATATATATATATATATATATATATATATATATATGATCTTCCCTGTAAATAGCCTCTGCCTCCTACATGCCAGAAAGACACCCTCTGCAGCAACTCTTCCTCTTTGTAGAAAATTACTGGTTTGCCACTTGAAACTACAGCAAACTATTCAAGTGGCCTCCCTGGGAAACGATTTCTAGGCTCCATAACAATTCAGGCCCTTTCATTTCAAAGTTTTCTCTTTCCTTCTGTGTCTGTGTGTCTACTTGTTCAGCTGATTCAGACTATTCATCTAGTGAGCAGATACAACATCTAATTATATTTTCCACGGAAACATTAGCATGTTATTATTAACGCTTAGCAAGAAAAAAAATAAAGTCCTGATTTTCCCATTTTTTCCATCTCACAACTTCATAGGCAAAACAGATTTTGAAAGTAGAGCATGGAAGGTTTGTTCCATTAGACACATGCAGGGTTTTGCCATCCTCCTATACAAGGGTTCAGTCTTTCAAATGGAGCATAGAGCTGTTAGACATTAATCCATCTGTTGCATTTTTTTTCCTCCTGTTTCAGAGGACTCATGTATTAGTCCCATAGCAAAAGTCATATCAAAAACCTGTTCTTTTCTTGAACACTACACCAACAACTAAGTATCTTTCAGAAATGTTCAAGTGTAATGTTATGCACTCAAATGGTGAGAAGCCTCACATGAGTCCAAAATCCCTTTCTTTCACACCCTGGCCCCACCCTAATTTTATGTGTTTTTCCTGGCCTCCACTCCTGAGTACAAATCCTCCAAAAAGTACAGCTGGGCTGGCTTCCTCGATGCCCCTTGCATATGTCAAGATGTCTCATTCCAGTAATCTCTAAACATTACCTATTTGTGAAGACCTAGATAATTCACAAACACCCAACAAAAATTTTTGACCATAATAGCTATTGGTGATGATTCATTCTTTTGAATTTAGAACATGCAAAGATCTAAAACGTTAACAGCATTACATAGCACATACCAGAAAGCCAAATGCACAAAAAAAAAAACAAGCACTGTTTATATCAAATTAGATCAGCAGCTCCCTAGGAGGGGAATTCTACAGTTCACATTCTCCATATCACAGCATATTTACACCACACTCAACTACCCTGGGCTCTTCCTCCCAAGGAAATTTATGAGTATTTAGGGGTCAAATAATATTTCTCAAGTAGCTTCAGAATCCTCTAAAATAACTAACACAATCAGAATTACTGAGAGTACACAGTGGATTGTCACTTATTTGCCTCAGGGAGCAGTGGGGATATTATTTAGTAGAACCAGAATAAAATCATCCTGAAACAACAAATTATAGTATTGAGAATGAAAATATTACAGTGAATCGTGTGGTTTTGTAGACTTACAGAGCCCACTTTCTATGCAATTTCAGCAGGGGAGCGGGGGTCATGAAGAGTGGAAGAAGGTAGTAGAATCAGAATATTTGTTTTCAAATGACCTTGGAGATCACGTGTGGTAGATCATCCTCTTAGAGGTGAAAATGTAGTATGGAAGTATCCTGAGTTAAGCAGAAGACTGAGATGACAGGTTCTCTCATCCCTGACTACCCTTGACACATTGCAGCAGTATTTCCACAAGAAGGGAGCTTCTCATTCTCACTGAAGAAGAGTCCTCCCTCTACCTGGAGACAAGAGTGAAATTTCATCCAGGGTCCCCATCAAAATTTAGTGGGAATACGTCCAGTGTTGTTTGACGATATGTGACACCGCTATTGCCGGTATATTGTAATTGCTTTATTTCCCTAGCTCATCTATGCCACGTGCAAAAAATGCTAACACATCCTCTAAACAATTAAGTGATAGCACAGCAAGGTACATGCAGTAACAGTGAAACAGGAGTTCAAATATCTAAACTCTTCATTGAGCACTTGTAGTATTTTTACAATTAAAAAACAGTTGTCATTTTCAGAGTGCTCCTATGACTTTTCTAGCCCAGGAGACAAAGCTAGACAGGTGACATTAGGACATTTTTGCAAACTAATGTTCACTGAGTCTCTGTAATACACAGGCGACTTCAGGAAAGATTCAAATGACTAAAACTCCATTTTCAGCCTCAAGAATTGAGTAAGATGATTAAAAATGAACACAAAAAGTCTAATGAAGATCATAAGGACTAATAGGAGGCTATGGATTTTCCAAGTCATGACAAATCCCCTGATTTTCTTAGCTGTGGGAAAATTACATTAATTTTAAACCATGTGTGTTTATGAGCAATACTCACAGCAATTAGAAAGTTCTTGATTTTTAAAAGATAGATTTCTTTCATGTTAGACCATTCTTTTGACTTCACATTTATTTCTAACTATCAGTACCCCATTGACAAAAGAATATGCTAACTTTTTTCAGATGCTGATTTTTAAAAGTTTTCTCTGAAGAACAAGTTATAGTTGCCTCCATCAAAATATTGCTGAAACAGAGTTAATCATGAAAAACAATATAATTTTGCTTGTTTGGCACACTTTAATGCTTCCAAAGCATTTTCACACACTTGTTTTCAATGGATCTCCTCAGGTCACCAGAAAACACTGAGGATGTGCAGGGTTGGCTGATTGTGCCTTTGAGCTCTATGTGTGCATGTTATTATTATTATTGTCATTGTGCAAAGAGGAATCTGAGTCTCAGAGGACTTTAGTGAGTGACAGTGACAACTGGCATTTGTCAGACTCGTCAGACAAAAAGAAAATTGCTGGCTAAGCCCTTCAATCTAAAATTACTTACAAGTTATTACACTTGAAAAATCATGCTCCTACTGGTATATGTTCTCTTGAACAGAAAGCATGCCAGGCAGCACTTGGCATTCGGGGCCCCCAGCTACCCTTCTTATTTCACAATGGCACTGTGTGCCCTTTTCAGACACTAGTCAACATCTCTCCTCTCATGCTCTCTTCCAACAGAGGATCAAAGGTGGCCACGTGTTCTTCCTTCCTGAAGAGCCAAAGCTACTGAACTACGTCCTTCAAAAGTGTCTGGCTTGACAACTTTGTTCTAACTTTGAGAAGTCTTTATGCTGACAAACACATTTAGGGCAGCAGCCATCTGGGGGAAGAAATTGGTGCTGAGTCATTGATGCCACCATGCTTTCTACAGTGATTAACAAAGAGCATCTGAGCTTATCAGCAGAGTTGTAGAAGGCAAGAGGAGCTGGCACTAAAGCATCCTGTCCTGTATCCCTTAGAGGAACTTCAAGGATGAGCAATGACAGATCTCACAAAAAAAGAGAGAGAGAAAAGCCCACAAGTCTATAACAGTTGAAGAACAAAGAAGAAAACAGAATCCTAGAAGCAGCAAGGGCCTAACAGTAATGTCCCTGGGGTCTCCCAACCCCATACACATATGCTTGTCCTGGCCTGATCTCAGACTATGAACGCTTAAGTCCTGTGGTTCTTAAAATCTACCGTAAGTCCAGGAAGGACACAGTGAACCCTACAAACATGGCCCAGTGCTATTCTTTCTTCTATGTGAAAACATGGAGTGAAAGAAACTGTCCTTACCTCGTAATGAGCCACGCGCTGAGATTCGGAAATCAGCTGCGCACTGCACACCTTGCAGTAACTGTCTGTAAATAAATCCTGATCAATATCGGACGACTTCATCAGGCTAAAGGAAAAATCAACAGAGAAGAAAAGAAAAATGAGTCCACTTTCTGTGATGTTTGTACAGGAAACATAGTCTGAAGAAGTCAGGAACATAGAAACAGATCTGAGTTTAGCAATGGTGGAAGGAGATCCCAACCCTTTGGTGTTACTATATCGATTAACCTGAGCAGGCAGAGCGTTAATGATTCTCTTTTAAATACTTGGTGTGGTTGCTGGTCCCCAAAAAATGGAAACTCAGCTTTATTATTTTTCTTTTTTTAATAAATCATACATCTGATGCACTGTCAAGCATTTATGCAAGAGTACATTTCCACATGATTTATGTGAACAAAATACTCTAAGTATCCAATCTATACAACAACAGAAAGAGGTTAAATGAACAAAGCTATATCCACACACTAAAATACTGTGTGGCTCCAACTATAAATTCAAATCAAATCCATCTTCAAAACAATATTTAGTGAAATAGGAAACCACTTACTATTAATAAGAGGTTTCCAAAATCAGTATTATAGTAAATTTATTTAAAAATATATACAGACACCTAGACAAACATTGCCAGAAATTCTAACACACTTTTAATAGCAGTTATCTTTGGAAAATTACAGGCAATGGCTTAGGTAATTTTCTTTAAGTTTTCTACAAAGAACACGTATTACTTTTGTAGCACATGGGAAGAAGTTAGCTTTGTCAAAAGCCTAAAAGCAATATAAAACCTAGTTTAGACTATAATGGTTATGCTGAGGGAATTTAAAAATAAAACCAGGCTAAACTATAACTTTTCTTGCAAGTTTATACTGTATAAAGTGAGGAGCTCGCACTCCTCCTGCTGACTCATCTACATTTAGGGTTGCTGAAATTCATAAAGGCCACCTCCACTACTCCACACCACGAGTGAGCCCACAACAGTAAACATATCCCCAGTTCCAAGCCCTGAATCAAAGTGCAGCCAAGGGAGGCAAGCTCACAGATGATCAATCACAACGGTGTCTTAGAGCAGCTGAAGGACACTGTTACCCTCCTGGAAACACCTGGAAATGCTTTCCTGCAACCCACAACCCCACTTTGTTTTACCTCCTACCTACCAAGCGCAAAGTCGTGTCTGTGCCAGGCAGCAAGCTGCATGGAGAGGAGAGGAAAGGGAGTCTCAACAAGAGGGATGTGTGGGCACTTTGGCGTTCACTTACTCCAACACCCTCATTTTACACATGAAACTGTGATTTCTGTGATTACTGACATCACCATAAATACTGACTAGCTTGCATGAGTCCAATTTCCGCATTCCTGATCCATTCCACGTCTAATGTGACCTGTCAGTCATATAATTCTGGGTGAGTTATTAAGTAACCATTCCCTCCCTATAAAAATTGAGATAACAATTATTTGCTGTCTTAGAGAATTATAAAGATCAAAAGGAGAAATACAGAAGTACTATATGTAAACTGGGACAATCTCTTCACTGGAGTGGGGTCATGATCACCTTAATGATATCTTGACATCAGCAAGAAGTTAGTGAACTCTCGATCAATGCAAAAAAATGAAAGATTGGTATCCATTTTAAGTAATTTTTGAAGCCATCTGAATAGGTGAGCCACAAAGTAAAATTATCTGCCTGGGAAAGAAATAATGTTTGCCTCAGTAACTACAAACTCACTTTCTATCCTTGGCTAAGGCTATAATAGCCATTAACATACTTGCATTCAGACACTCAGAAGGATTCAGTTTCTTCTCTGAAGAAAAACGGGTACCTCTTTTTTATGCCCCAAGTGCCAATAGCAATGTCAGGTAGCAAGGGCCACAGACTCTCACAACTGAAGTGACTTGTTATTTCTGGAAGCATCACTTCATAGCCCCAACAGGCTGCAATCCTACAGCTGCAGTGCCTGGAGGCTCACTACCTCACATGGGACCCATTCCAGACAGTTTGGCAACTCTAGTTGCTAGGTAGTTTTTAGATTAGAACAGACCTGTCCCACTATAGCTTTCACCCACTGATTCTGTCTTTAGGTATAACACAGTTCAATTCTAGTCTCCTTTTTTCAAAAGCTATGCTCACTCTAGTATTTTAAGATAGCTCTCTTCCAAGTATTTCCAAACCCCACCCTCCCTTATCAGACATTTTCTGGAACCATCTTCAAAGGCAGTGCCAAGAAGAGAACAAAGTGCTCCATATGTGGTCAAACAGGACAGGAGATCAAACATCCAAATGATCATACAAAATATCCATTGTCATATGTAACAGTCTCCCCTCACATCTTGAATGAAGATGGAGAAGAGATGTTTTGATGATGGGAAAATGTAGTACAACATTCTGAAATGTCAAATGGGAAAAGAAATGTATATTTTTTGAAGCCAAGTTCCTATAAGTAGTTGTGTTTAAATATTATCGTGTTCCCTGCTATTTCTAATAAAGAAGTGCACAAAAATAGATTCATGGGTGACCTGGTTAATAGGAATCTCCAAACTCACTGCACACTCCTTCCTCATTATACAACTGACTGCAGAAATCAAACACTGTGAAAGGATATTCAAGGTACGTGTCGGACCAAGTGGGGCCCGTAGGAGTCTGAGTCTCGGTAAAGCAGCTGTGCAGCAGAAATAGCTTTAAAGGCAGAATATAAAATGTGTATACTTAAAAAAAAAATCAAAGGCAGAAGAGAATATCATGGTTTTTTCCACTGTTTTATATAAGAATATTGATTCGAATAAGCCCATATACAGTAAAATAGGAATAAAGACCCCCTCTGAAATCCACAAGGCCTGAAGGGAATACCTGAATAAGTGCAGTTCCAGTGGAAGGCAATTAGTGAGCAAGTGTCAACCTACTTTGTGCAAGAGGCATTTTCTCCAAGAAGAGAGAGCTTTGTGTAGGTCACTTTAGACAACCAGAAGGTCTGATTGATGGTGTAAAGAGTAGAATTCCTATGAGGGAAGGTTGTCATTTTCGCCCTTCCTCTGACTGTTTAGGATTCTTGGCTTCAGTGGCTTTCCAAAGTACAGAAGTGGTGAGAAAATCAAGGAATATCGCATTGCCTGTCTATGACCTTGTCCATGGTCCTGAATCAGCAGCCAGAGCAGACTGGTCAGGACCTTGACCATTTATTCAAATGCCCTTCTGTCCCATCAGAGCCCATGTGTGGTGACCCCCCCACCCTTAGTAAATGGTGATTGCCCTGTACTCTCAATCTTGTCGCTTTTGAGGAGAGCGACAAGAGTAGGGGAAGAAAGGAGTTTGATTCACTGGGTCTGAAACTAATCTAAATGAAAAATTGCTTAGGGCTCCTCACTGATACATTCCATCACTCTTCAATATTTGCTGTGGGCAGTGCTACCTATATTTCAGTAAAGAGGCTCAGGAGGAAGTGGGAATGACATTAGAACAGGAGTCTGATTGGATACTCATTTTCTGTTGCCCATAACAAGCACAACTACTTACATGTGTACCAGTGACAGTGTTAGATTCAAAGGTAGATTTAACTATAATCAAGTTGAAAGGGAGAGCTTATGCTTATTCAATAATTGATACTGGGTACTATGTATGAGGCACAGGGATAAAGTACCATTCCTGTCTTCCAAACCTTTATGAGTTATTGAGAGAGAAGATATGTGGACACAAATACCTAACACACAGGCAGTAAGTGTAATTTGGCTGGTAAAAGTGACACAGAATTTAAGAAGACATGGAGGATTATAAAGACTTCTTCAAGGAGGTTGAGATTTTAAGGGTGGATAGGATTAGAAGGGAGGGAAAGGAGTTCCAACACAGAAGTTAATTCTCTCCTGGCACAGAAAATAATCTTACTACCGGTAGGCATGAGACAATTTATATGAGGGGCACTGGTAGAGCTAATTTGGGAATATACAACATAAGGGGAGGAGGTAGCAAAATGCAAAGAAGAGAAGGGTACACAAAGCTCAAGACCCATATGGAGGAAGAAGACCCAGTGGAGAAGAGCCAGGTCTCAAAATGTCTCTCGAGATGCAAGGAATGGCCTTTTTCAGGATCTTCAGAACAGATAGGAAGTCTTCCTTTCTGTTTCTTCCTAAATCTCAAGAGCAGATTTCAGGAGTACAGGCTGAGAAGCCAGGGAAATTTAATTTCTTCATTCCATCCCATTTCTAATAGTGTTAAAATAGCTCCTGACATGATGCTCCCAAACCCAGATAGGGTTCTTCAGATGAAGAGGCATTAATTCTAATCCAGGTTTGGTCACTCACCAACAACGTTGTTCAGCAAGTTACATACCCTCCTGAGTCTTAGCTTTCTGATTTGTGAAACAAGAGGAAATATCCGCAAGGGGTTATTGTGATGATTAGAGACGATATAGATAAGAAACATCTAACAAAGACCATGGCCTGTAGTAGTTACTAAAAAAATGGATATTGCCACCATTACTATGTTATTAATTTTGTATTATCATTATTCTTATTTTCAGAGGGGATGTTGTAAATATTTAAGAAGATAAATAAACGGAACCACTTTAAAGCCTGAGGGGAAGATAATTCAGTGTGCTAAAATCATAGCTTTTATTACCATCATAGACTTCTCTTTTATATTAACAGTATCATCAACAAACATGACTCATTTCCACTGAATTCCACTGCCAGCCAATATTCAGGCCTTATGCCTGTAAAGACCCCATTCTTAATTATTTAAGGTTTATTTTTGCTCTCAGTAGATGCAGATACTTGCAAATGGAGCACTTCAATAAGAACCCTTTCCCCGCCATTCTCTCATGTTCTTGTTGTGGCCTGCTCCCTCGGGAACATAAGTGAAAGTATACAACATCCAAAGCCCGGATGTGGACCAGCTCTCTGGACCCACAGACACTCACTTTGGTGGCCACGATCGTCACACTGCCCAGGTAGCCTCTCCTCTATTCCAGTTTCTTGGGCTTGATGTCCTCCACAAGTAGGTGCCCTTGTGCCACAGGTTTGGGCGTTTTCACTACAAGATCCAATAACCTACAGATCGTCTTTGACTTGTGGTAGCATTGCATC